GAGCCTGCAAATCATAGCTACCAGGTGAAATCCTCATTTTTCTAACCGGTAGGTGCACTAACAGTGTGAAATACACTGACATACATATATATGCATAAATGTACATGGCAGAATCCTGATACTAGTGGCTTCAATGGACCTGCTCTGTGATCTTGCCCAGATACAGCTTTAAGTGACTAATCCATTCTCTTTTGTCTTTTCTGTCTCTTCCAGAGGAAATGATGGTGCACATTAAACTGTGTCACTTATTGAGCTATCTAGCATTTTGTGACTTTATCGACATATGTTTAAAAAGTATCTTGAGAAACTCAAAAGGAAGATGGACTTTAAGTAGGAAGCTAGGACAACAGTTAAAAGCAGAAAGCACTAAAAGAAACATTTATTTCAACTATAGTCTGTGACTCTACATTATCAGTAAAAGATGTAATCAAGCTGTTACTGCAGGTAACTCCAGGAATCTCTGCTTTTATTCAATTCAACCATAACTGAAATAATCACATAACATGGGTACCGAGGGCTTTGCAAAATAAGACGTATATTCTGCATTTCAAATTCCTGGTGTGGGATTTCCTAATTATAGATTTGGGTATGTGAGATCGGCGAGGGAGGCTCTAAGTGTCTGTAGTCCTGTATTAGCCATTTCCCCTCTACTCTGCTCTTATGAAACCCCACTTGGAGCATTGTGTGCAGTTCTGGTGTCCTCAACATAAGAATGACACAGAGCTGCTGGAGCAAGTCCCAGGAAGAGCCACAAGGTGATCAGGGGACTGGAGCACTGCCTGTATGAAGGCAGGTTAAGAAAGTTGGTGCTGTTCAGCATGGAAAAGAGAAGCTGCATGGACACCTCATAGCAGCTTTCCAGTATCTGAAGGGGGCCTACAAGGAGGCTGGAGAGGGACTCTTCATCAGGGACTGTAGTGACAGGACAAGGGGTAATGGGTTTAAATTTAAATATGGGAATTTCAGGTTAGATATAAGGAAGAAATTCTTTGCTGTGAGGGTGGTGAGGCACTGGAATGGGTTGCCCAGGGAAGCTGTGAATGCTCCATCCCTGGCAGTGTTCAAGGCCAGGCTGGACAGAGCCTTGGGTGACATGGTCTAGTGTGAGGTGTCTGTCTGTGGCAGGGGGTTTGGAACTGGATGATCTTTAGGTCCTTTCCAACCCAAACCATTCTGTGATTTTATGTATCAAGAGCGTTAAGTGACAGGAAATAGTTTATTGATCAGCTTAAGAAGCGACATGAATCTCGAAGCTCAACTTTTAATATGTGTCTCTTAACAAGCTCTTTCATGACCATTAGTAGGCTACAATTTTCATGCTAGCTGTAATGCCGAAAAGAGAGAGCTTCAGAGTTATATGATGCTGGGCTAAGTGTGTATCTGTAGAATACAAGGGTGAAAGATACCAGAAAAAAAACAACAACCCAGCTCTCAGGAAAAAATAGGTGATCAAGCCCACAGTTCTTACTGAATCTGGTTCTGAAATCTCTTACATGCCTCTGTCCATCTGATAATCTCTATTATAAACATTTTTTATGCCATAGGGATGATGAAGACAGAATAGATTTTAATCCCCCTGGAAAGTGAAGGCTATTAAAAGTTAATTATAACACCTCATTTTTGAAGGAGCACAAATGGGACTTTATAACCTTAATGACCACAGGTGTGAGTTCAATTCGTAACTCTGCAATTATTCCCAAATCCCTCAGGATTAATACTCCAGTTGATCAAGTGCTATTGGAACTTTTCTTCTTCCTGTGGACTCTGTCAGCAGTTGGCATGAAGATGGAGACAAAATCTTGATGAAGAAAAATCAGTCTTTTATCGTGCCCATATTTAGGCAATTTGTTAAGGTAAGACCAGGTTATGCACTCATGCAGGAATTCTTTTATGACCTGCTATCCTTTGAGGGCAGACCAGCTTCCTACTCCATGTACTCTATACTGTTGTCCATCTTGTGGCCAAGGGCTTTTCATATAAAGTCCTGTTGATCTGTGACATCCTGTTTCACTTTTCTTGCAGCATAATGGTCTTCGGGTCTCCTGGGGAGAAAGCATTTCAGTAATGCTGGTGGTGGGGAACAAGGTAGTCTGCAAAAAAAGAAGGTAGCTACATTTAAAATTTCTTGCAGTTTTTATCTAATTATATTAGCTGTTTCATAACAACTATTGCTCTAGATACTCATACTGTAGTGTCATCTTGTTATTAACCTGCTGTGTCTTTGGATCATTGCATTCACAAAGCACTAGCAGGTTTTGAACTTGAAAGCTCAGCATCCTGGTCAAATTATGTTCTGCCACTACACTGTATAGTATCCATAAGCAGTCTGTATGACTGTGTATATATTTTTTTGTAATCTGTCCAGCTGCAAAAGTGAGTAGAATGAATGCTGTTGTTTTAGTCAAACTTAACTCTCAAGTAGTCATTTACTTTCGATTCCTCCAGCCTGTTTCTGTAAGCTAGTGCTATGTTGAAAAGACAGCATGAAATGCTCACAGCAGTGTACTGTGACCATTACAGGGGAAAAGAGCTGTAAACTGTGGCAAATCTGCATCATACTGTATGAGAACCAGGGAGTTTCAGAGGTCCTGGCAAAGAGGGACAAGTTGAAACCAAGCAGACCTTTCTCCCTGATCTCTCAGGGAGTGAAAGAGGGAGTGACTGTCTGGATTGTCACTTCTTGGCTTAAGTCTCAATGGGAGTGAAAAAAAAAATATGCTCAGAGCTTGCCCTAGGCAAGGACAGATGCTGGGCATGATTGCTACTTTTAGAGCAGAGATCTGTAACCTGCTAGAAGCTTCTCACCTTTACCACTGTTGGTGGGGGTCATGTTGAGGTGGAAAAGACAGTGGTCAGAGGTCCTGTCACAGGAGAGCTATCAAGAAAGCAAACCCACAATTCAAGGACCTCCTAAGTCAGTAGTTGTAGATACATCTTCATGTTTTATAGCCCTTGCAGCTTGACTTCCATGAGTTTACCCAGCTGCTTTTTGAGAGCACCTAACACTTTTCATAATCTGAGTACGTGGCACCTGGTTTACTTCAAATCCATTGTTCCCAAGGGTAGGAAATAATGAACAGCCATTCCCCATTCACTTCTGCATATTGGTCATGATCTTTTATGCCTCTGTGGCCCATTCTCCAGCATTGTTTGTTGTCCAAGCTGAAGATCCCAAATCTGTTTATTTAGAGATCTGATTATTGTGCCTTACTCTCTCATGCTGTAGTGCATGGGAAGGGAGGTCCTTCCCCAGAGTGTGGCACAAGTTTAGTTTCTGTACCTGTTCTTAGAAAAGCAGCTCTCCTGTTTGTGCCTTGCAGTGACTAGACAGCCCTGTGTCCACACCTTTTCCCACAGGGCAATGAAGTCCAGAAGGCACAACTTTTCACTAACCAGGAGAATCTCATGGGTGTATGAACTCTTTCCCAGCTGAAACCACAAAGGCCACCAGCTAGCTGCATAGTGGAATTTAAATTGAGACATTTCTGCCCATCAGAACGAGCAGGAACAAGTAATGACTACTATTAAAGGACAGCCTAGTGGATAGGTGACATACTTGTGAAGGAACATGTTCCTGTTGTTGAAGATAAACCTATTGTCTACCTGTAAACCCACTGAAAAAAGCATTCCAAGCAGGAGTTAAGGCAGTGGATTATTCATACGGAAATGCAATTGTTTGTAGGCACAAGACACCTTGGCACAAAAAAATAATGTAACATGCAGTCAATCTTGAATTGAGAGAAATCCAAATACAAGTAGTTGTTCTAATTTATTGCCCTTGAGCTATATTACCTTCCTCAGGTGAAAGAGAGATTAGTAGCTGGGGAAACGACAGAAAAGATGCTGAATACTAAACGCAGACTTCATTCATTCCTCTTGGCCTGAGAAATGCTTTCTTCCTCAGATCCTGGTCAAGGCTGATAGCTCAGTATCTTGCCCTGGGGACAAGGAACTGAGACACAGAAGAGAACAGGCACATTGTACATGACGGGTGAGGCACTGGTAGTTCAGTGCAGTTTCCATTTTTTAATGCAAATTACTTCCCTCTCTTCAGCATTCTCCAAAACAGGATCCAGCATGATCATTAACATTGTAATGGGCAAGGACATTGCATAGCCATAATTGTGTTTTCTCATGGTCTTAATTATTTCAAGGTAAAATGCTGTTATAGGTATTTGTTCTGCAATTTCTTTCAAACAAAAGCATGTCCTTTGGTCATAACCCCTTTGATTGCTGAGGAATGTACTGCTCATGAGAGATGCACAAGGCTGCAGATGAAGATACTGGTGCCTAGGCCTATGTTCAGTAGTGTAGGGTTATGGCATTCCCTTAGCCCAGATCCCAGAAGAGCTGAGCATCTGAAATGCTGAAGTCCACACCTGCAATCTGGCTCAAGGCCAGTTGACTCTAGTGCACCAGACTCACCTCCTTGTTGGACCTTTGGCACTAAGGCTGACATTCACTCATGCACTGAGCTGCATCAGCTTTGTGCCTCTCACCCAAGGCTGTCTAGGATCTAGGTGCTTTCTGATCAATCTGGTACCTGATCCCGGAACACTGCTAACAAACTGAAAGGCCTGAGTGGCTTATGAATTGCAGCTGTGAGAAGGAAAGGAGGACAGTGTCCAGCTTTCCCATAGCACTCTCTGGTTAGAGCACTCAGACGTGGGTACGATACCGAGTGGCCTTCAGTGGCTTCTCTGAGCCCTAGCCCCTATTTTCCACTGTTCGGGAAGAGCTGAGTGGTAACACTGATCTGGTCTCCTCTCAGAGCCCTCATCCCCGCGCTGCACACTCAATAACCAAAACTCCGGGAGCAGAGGGGATGCCGCCCTGTTGGGACCTCAGCATCCCAAGGACACCTTTCTCGTGGGGCCGCGTCCTTCAGTGACTTCGCCCGGCTGCCCCCGAGTGAAAATCGGGCATCTCAGTGGAACACGAGCCAGCGCGGGGCAAGAGTTGCGCGGAGCGGAGCCCCACTCTTGGCCCGCCCCCGCCGCGCAGCCCGGCCCCTGCGGCCGCCCGCGGCCATGTGCGCCGGGGCGGAGCGGCGCCGCGGGAGCCGCAGTCAGTGCCTGCCGCGGGGATGCTGCGCTACAGCTCGGGGCTCACGGTCACCGCCACAACCCCCCGGAGGCCGCCCGGCGACGGTGGCCGCGCCCGGCGGAAGGTGCGAGGGGCAGCGCGGAGGGTGGCGGGAGGTCCTGCGGACCGTGTGGGGCGAAGCGGCGGTTTGATAACGCACTATCCCCACTCCTCCGCCCCTTAGAGTTTTCCCTTGCTTATTTTCGGCGTTCTCAGGTGCAGCTTGCGGTGTGCGAGAGCACCTTTTCACGCTTTCGTAGTAGGTGCTGGGAAATGAAGAGCTTTTGGGGTGTCCTGCAAGGGTTTTGTTAGTGCTAGTCCCTGGCTGTTCTGGAAACCTGCGAGGAAGGTGTGCTTGTGTTGGAGACGACTTCCCCTCCGCTCTTCCTTCCCCCCCCCCCCCCCCCCCAATGAGCGTTGATATTTACAACTGAGAACTTGCCTATCTAGGCTCTAGCTATCATGAGGAACCTCACCGTAATGATTCAGACGGCAACAGTAATTTATTTTTATAATCTGCTCCTCAAATACAGAAATACGGTTTACTGATGTATCTTTTGTAATTTTCATAAACGAGATGGCTAATAATGCTGTATTAATCTGTTGAGAAATGCTTCTAAAAAGTTGTTAAAACTGGCAGATACGCCAGGAATGTCTCTACAGGCACCCTGTTTTAAATAGCTCTGTTTTGCTGCTGTAACCACACTACTGTCATTGTGCATGCACTTTCCACGTGTGAAGAAATAAATCACAATAACTTATACGGTTGTTTTTACAAAGGAATGTGATCATGATGCTTCTTGAATTATGTAGTGATTGTTTTGACACACCAAAAAGACGAGTTCATAATTGAAACAATGAGGAATGCCATATTGCCATGTTTTACAGGATAACATGAGGGTCAGGAACTTCCGCAGAAAAAAATCCTTTGCCTTCATAACAGTGATATTGCTCATGTATGTGGAAAAATAGAGACAACTTGGTAATCACAGTTATGTTCCCACATATCTTCCATGTTTCCTTGGAGTTTTCCTGTTTTAGTATTTCTTAAAGAAGTTAAAGCTAAGAGAAGTTGTGTTAAAGTGATAATTTTCTTACTTTCATCCCCATGATGTATTTCTCAGGGATAGTGCAAAATGAACTGTATTTGATACATTCTCTTAAGGAAACTGGTAAAACCTAAACTGCAAATAAAACCCACTGGGAAGCTGCTGTCGCTTTTTTTAGTGAAATGTGATTCCCTTACCATGAGTTTTCAGAAGAGGGGAGGAAAGACAGTTAAAGTAACTGCTGAATAAATGAAGGATGTGTGTCACATTCCTGTGTGCCTGTGGTCAGAAGAAAAGTGCTGTTTAATTGTGTGGGGAATCTCATAACAGAGATTTCATAAATGGAGCAGACTAATCAACAGATAAATGACCAAAGTACTTTCTTCTTTGCTTTTTAGGACTGACTGAGATTAAACATCTACTCCTTTTCTGCTTTCAACTTTAAGGTCTAAAGCTAACATTGGGTCTTAGGCAGAGTGAATGATTTTTGGCCATTGAGCTGGTAGGATAGTTACTCAACAAACATGCTATTCAAAACCATTATAGTATCAGACATTAGAAAGATCACCAGTGTTAGGTTTGGGTGGTGTTTACTCTAAAGTTATGTTGAAGCTAGATAAATATTGATCTAGCTTAATATCTAGCTCAGTATGTTTTGGTGTCTTCCCTGTGGGGGTACTGTAAAAAATCTTAGAATGAGAATGGTTAGTAGAACAGATTGTACTTTTCTATTGCTGTACTAGTAACTTTGGTTATTCTATGAAAACATTGCTCATTATTTTAATGCTAGCTTGTTAATTATTTCAGTGTATAGTTAACTATGATCAATGGCTTTCTGGGTGCTTTAGTTTTTAGAATGGGGAAGAAGAGGCTGAAGAACATTACTCAGACTGAATCTGTCATCTCTGTTTTAAGTTGCACCCTAGTGATTTGAGTAGGATGGTAAACATGCATGTGGATTGTGGATCTGGGCCATGAATTTTTAACATTTTTAACTAACCCAGATTGGCTTTTTTCTTAACTGCCATACTGCAGTAGCTCTCATCTATGTTGTCCCACTAGCCTCTTGGGAATTTGGTATAAGAGCATATCTTCACATGTTAATTTACACTGCACTCAGCAAACTTTTGCTGTCTTGTGGAGTGCTGGGCTGAACCTCTCAGCCTTTGTATTCCTGTCTGCGTATTCATCTCACAAATGATGTCAGACAAGCTTTGGAAGTACTGTTGCTGGGTTGTTGGTGTCAGAAAGCCATGAGTGAACACAAAATGTTGGCACAATTAAGATTACTTACGTTGTTGGCTTGCTGTAGCTACAGATGCTGCAAATCAAACTAAAAAATCTGATACCCAGTTCTTGTTCTACCCGGTATTTCTTTCTGAAGTTATACTCACAAAGTTACAAATGTCAGTGGCATAAAAGTGGGGTAGAAGATATATCTATCCCTGGTTTTCCTCATTTGTTCTTACTGTCAGTCAGCATTTGAAGGGAATTTTATCACAGCCTTCGCCTTGCTTGGGAGTCCTCTTTCATTCTCCTCCCTGTTTTCTTTCTGAATAACGCAATTTGTTTCTGGAGATTACTCCTTCATCTTCAGTTGCACATTATTCTGCCACTGTTTGGCACTAAGTCGAGGCCCTTCCTGTTACCATGTAATTTCCATTTTAAGGCATCACTGCAGCAGTGTTTTGCTGTTGGTGGAGGGTTTGCTGCAATTTCCATGTGAGCCTGCTCATTCATTTGGTCAAGTAAACTTGCTGACAATATGTACAGTGCGTTGTTTCTCCAGGAAGCGCTGCATAGCAGAACAGCATAGGTACAGTATTCATAATTGCTTCTGAAGGTTAGAGAAAAAGACGGTGCCTGTTATTTTCCCCTCCCAATCTCTATAGTGTTCTTGAATTTTAACAGATTGCTCTGTAGTTCTGTCCTTAGGTAGAGTACATATTCTGTGGCTCAGGGGGAGCAGGAGTGAATGGCTACTTTGTACGTTTGCTGCTATTTCCCAAGGGATGCTGAGGAAGTCCTATTGTTACAAGCAATTGTACAGACTGTATAAGTTTGTCCTAGAGAGGAATTGGGTGGTACTTTGCCACTTCTGTATAAGCCTCACTGGGCATGGCTTCAAGGCTAAAATCATTAGATGGTTACCAATGCCACCCTGTGTTTGGTGTTTGCATGCAACAGGCTGCAAAGTAAAGCATTAAAACTTATCTTTTGTCAGAACTACTGCCAAAAATATGATGCTGATTTGAGGTGCTTTAAAAGTAAGATAGTGTGGAAATGAAGGGGGAGGGGGGGGGGGGAGGAAATGATTTTAGGGGTAATGGAGAAGGCAGTGTGAAAAGACCAAGAAAAACAGTTTAAATGGTAACAACCCTTTGCTTGTACAGGGGTTTTAGTCTCAACAAATTACCGCTATTAATTTGTGTTTCCAACAGAGTTGTTGTGATTTGACTGCCATCTGCATTGGGCTCCTGTCATTTCCTTCATAGTAACCCTTTAACACATCGATTGGTGTAACATCACAGGCAGTCATGATTCACTAACTGGTGTACAGGTACAGGGATAATAACTTATTTACAATCACTGTACTGTGTTTATCTGTAAGTATGTTGACTATAATTAGTCGCATATTGACTAACAGGCAAGCCATTTGCCAGCTTCAGGGAAACATACACAATTCCATTTCTCCTAACTTCATGTTGCCAGGCATTATCTCTTCCTATTTATTTGAGGTATTTTTAATGTTTTCTTCTAACAACCCTTTCAATCCTTTTAATCCACTTTTCCTTCATTTGAAATCACTGTAAAAAAAAGTTGGCCTCATGCGTCACTTCCTGCACAGCACAGCACAAATTCAGTTCTATTTCCTATTTATGGGCCTGGTCTTTCTTTGTTTGCCTACATGGAGGAATGCCAGATTCTGCTTCCCTTCTTGTGGTAAACAGCTGTGTTTTAAGAGGAAAGAGCCTTGCTAAACTAATGGGAAGAAAGAGCATAGGGAAATGGAAAATAAATAGGTGAGAAAAGGTGGCATTTATTACCTTACAAATCAATAAGCTCTGAAGTTGAGAAGTTTCTAATTAATACATCTTGATAACTAACTTGTAAGCAGGAAGCACCCGCAGCTTCTGCAGTTTATGGGGAGACTCTGGCATTGTCAGAAGAGCACAGCAATCAGTGTCAAAAGCCAATATGCAAGAATTCATCATTTTAAAACACATTGTTTCAGAATTCTTTAGCAAATGTGAAAGCATAGCCTCTTTTACACTAAGTGTTGGGGGGCTTATATCACTTTCTCTGTGGCTTCTTCTCGATTTGCTAGCTGGTGGGTGAATGACGAATTAATGGTGAGGAGCCCACTGCACAAAAAGTAGCCTCCATAAAAGTGTCTAAAGAGTAGATTATATTTCACCTTGATTATCTTTATAATATGGACACAGCTAACGTATTTTACAGGAACCGTATGTGTGTTTCATGACACTGTTCCTTATTGGTAGAAGGCCTTGCAGACCTGAAATAGCAAACTGAGGGGAAGATGTAAAGCAATACAAAGTAGTATTTTTAAAATCCAGTTGGCAGCATACCAGTAGTCTAAACACTGTTGATTTGTTGTTTCAACAGATTTAAAGAAAGGGTGGAATTAAAATAGTGAAATTGCTGCAGGTATTTGCTGGTAGTTATTCCAACTGCTTTTGCTTGGGAAGAAGAAAAGGTTAAAACTTGTTGGTAAAGTTAAAAAAGGTACATTGTTTGGAAACAGGGAAAACAGGAATCCTTGTCATGCTGAGTAGTGGTGCTCTGAGGAGGTTATGTTGTAAAGAGCCTTGAAAGTTAAGTCAAGTTAGCTTAACTGGTATGAGAGATAGTTGGAAGAAGTGAATTATAAAATGGTAAAATTTGGGGTCTGTGAAAAGTACTTTGCTGCTGTGCTCTGAATGCCTGTGAGCAGACATGCTTGTCCTTTTCAAGGCAAAAGGAAGTACTGTGGTGACCAGGACACAAGCTGTGAGCTTGGACAAGTGCAATTGAAAGATGTATTTCAGAGAGAAGGTACACATTACACATGACTGAAGTCGGTAGTTAAGAGAAAAGAGAGAGACCTAGATCTAATGAGATTCTGGACTGTAGAAGAACAGTGGTGATGACCCACAGTAATCATGAAGAAGGTATTTTAGACATCTTGAGAAAGAGCCTTAAGAGTTTGTTATCAATGAACAGCTTCAAATTTGAATAGACAGTTTTCTCATTTCATTATTTCCTGTACTCTGCTTAGGACTTGCAGTTGTTTTCCATGAAAATATCTCATGAACAGGACAAAGACTGAAAGTTTTAATCAAGTTTCTGGTATGGAATGTGTTGTTTGAAGAATATCATTACACCAAAGATCTCAGACAAAAGCAAGACAAACTGCAATTGGGCGTAGAAAGGTATCAACCCCACTGGCCTCTTTCCTCAGTGAGAGAATGGCTTTTTTGAAATTGGATAGGAAACAATACCTCTTAAATTTTCTCTGAAGTGTTTTGAAGCTTAATTTTTGCAAACAACTTGTATGTATCAGATTTCAATAATATCCCTATTCACGCTTAGTGGAATTGCAGTGCTAAAGTATCCTTGGATCAAATGCTTGGATACATATTGAACAAAAAAGAAGCATTCAGTCCAGAATACACATTATGTTTCTAAATAATCGCCTTTGAAGATTAAAAGTATGCTAAATCTGCAAACCAAACTGAGAAACTATAAAATCCTGTTCATTGTTCTGTTATCTCAGCTCTCAATGTCATTTATGAGTACATAAGAACACGTTGTTGATTGAAATGGATTTTTGCTATTTCAGGTATGTAATTATGGGGATGCCCTTGAATTATTTCTTGCCAGCTAAAACCCCCTCCAACTTTAAAAAAAAGAATCTTTTGTCAGCTGTGAGGCAGCAGGTAAAAAATACTAAATTAAAACTTGAATGTTGGTACAGTTCATTCTGTAATATAAGTTATTAAAATAACTGGTTTTAACATGTAAATCTAAAAGCAAATCTTCCTTTTTCTTTCAGATGAATGTCTGTAGGTTACGCTTGACTGTACCTCCCGATGAAGGCTCACAGCCTGAACAGGGAGCAAAGGAACCTGAAAGAAAGAAAAACGTAAGTTTTGAGAATCAGTTGAATTCTGTATAAACAAGGACTAAATGTTGTCATCCACAAAAGCTAATTCAGTTGTTTTGGGAGCCCAAAGCCCAGATCTCGGAAGACCACAGAACATGTGGAAGCTGAGCAAGTCAGCTCTGAACTTTAAGCCTGGGCCTTGCAGTTGAGGACAGCAAAATTGTATGTAAAGTGGGACAGTAGTAGAGGAACAGCATAGAGGTTGTAGGTGATTTGTGACTAAGGTACTTTTAAGACTTGATCGTTTAGTATTTACATATTAAAGAGTAGGAAACTGCTATCAATAACAGGTGTTACTTTAAACAGGATCTTGATCCTCACCTGAAGGGGATTTTATATTTCACTAGGCTTAAGACTGTGCTAGATTTGAGCCTTGATGTGTAGGGAGCTCAAACCCAGATGTTTTGCTGTGTCAGCTAATTTTGGTAATGGGTGATGTACTGTCATGGTTTAAGCCCAGCCAGTAACTCAGAACCAAACAGCCGCTCGTTCACTCCCCCCTGTTCCGCCCTCCGCTCCCGGAGGGTTGGGAAGGAGTATCAAAAGAATGTAACTCCCACGGGTTGAGATAAGAACAGTCCAGTAACTAAGGTATAACACAAACCACTGCTGCTACCACCAATAGTAATAATAATGATAAGGGAAATAACAAGGGAAGAGAATACAACCACTCATGACCAACTGACCGATACCCAGCTTGACCCGAGCAGTGATCTCGCCCTTCCAGGTAACTGTCCCCAGTTTATATACAGCGCATGATGTGCTGTGGTATGGAATATCTCTTTGGTCAGTTTGGGTCAGGTGTCCTGTCTCTGCTTCCTCCTGGCTTCCCCTCCTTCCTGGCAGAGCATGAGACTCAGAAAGTCCTTGGTCAGGGTAAACATTACTGAGCAACAACTAAAAACATTGGTGTATCAGTGTTGTTCTCAGGCTGAAATCAAAACCACAGCACTGCACCAGCTACTAAGAAGGAGAAAAATGACTGCTACTGCTGAACCCAGGACATGTACTAATAGGAAATACAAAATAAAGAATTCAAGATAGTTCTGAAGTGAAAGTGATTTGAAGGTCATGTGCATAGAATGGTTCAGAAGTGTGTACACACACAAAAAATCTTACAGCTGCTTTGGTGTAGAACTAGTTCTTTAAGAGCTGTTTCAGAACAATAGATGATGTTTAATTTGTCTTAAGGACGGAGAGAGACTAGAAAGGGAAGCTGGACAGGCTCCACAACTTCACCACATTTACACTTTGGTAAACCAAAATTAAACAAGAAGTTGGCTAAGTTTGCCAGAGGCAGTGTCTGAGTAGCAATATGACATTAGGAAGCAAAACAGTGATAGGTTTTATTTAAAAGAATTTCTTGGTGATATTCAGAAGTGAACATAACTGTAAAATGGTTCAAAGACAAGCATTTTAAAGCAATAAAAGTAAATGCAAACAAAAATGGTCAAGATAAAGATTCCTTCTCAGATATTTCTTGTGCTGGAATCTTGTATACACTCAGCTTTTCATACACTGCTTCCCTTGTTTCGGCTGGGATAGAGTTAATTTTCTTTCTAGTAGCTGGTGCAGTGCTGTGTTCTGGCTTTAGTCTGCGAACAGTACTGATAACACACTGATGTTTTAGTTGTTGCTAAGTAATGCTTACCCAAAATCAAGGACTTTTCAGTTTTCCATGCTCTGCCAGTGAACAGATGCTCAAGAAGCTGGGAGAGAGCACAGCCAAGACAGCTGACCTGAACTAGCCAAAGGGATATTCCATACTATTAAACATCACACTCAGTATATAAATTGAGGGGTGTTGGCGAGGAGCCACCGATTGCTGCTTGGGTTGGGCTAGGTGTCAGCAGGTGGTGAGCAATTGTATTGTGCATCACTTGTGCTTCCTGAATTTTGTTTCTCTCTTTCTCTCTCTTTTCCCTATCGTTATTGTTGTTATTTTTTTTCATTATTATATTTTACTTTATTTAAATTATTAAAACTCTTGTTATCTCAACCCATGGGTTCTACCTTTTTCGGACTCTCCCCCCCCATCCCACCAGGGTGGGGGGAGAGAAGTGAGTGAGCTGCTGTGTGGCACTTACTTGCCAATTGCAGTTAAACCACAGGATCTGCTTTGGCAAAGTAATCGGTCCTTGAGGATGTAGAAGTGTTACTTACAGAGTGGATGAAAGAGGCTTCAATGCAAACTAGGTTTAAGCCACCATTAAATAGCAATAATTCGTTTTATAAAGAGGTGTTTATTTATAGCACATAGAGTAGCTTCCCTCACTGCTTAATATATCAGTCTCTTGTTACTTTGGATCTGCAGAAACTCTTGAGACTGGCCTAAGCATATGGGTTCATTGCCCTAAGAGTAATGTCAGTTTGTTTTTGAGGAGGATGGATATTGACTCATGGCTTACTCATTTTACTGTGCTGAGTAGTGTAATAATAAGAAAGAAGTGTGAATGATTAGGGCTTGGACAGTTTGTAGTGACTTTCTTATGTGACTACTTTTTTTTTCCTGTGGGACCTTGTATTTGATGAGACCTGTATTTCCCCTGTAATAGAAATAAAGGCAAGTGGGGTTTATATCAGAGTATGTTAAGATATTAAATAAGTTATCTGGCTCATCTTACATTCTGGTATATTGCACAGTGATTTTTAAGTGATGGGTCCTTTTTAGTTGAGACAAATAAAAGTGATATGTAATTTAGTTATTGTATGTTTTGAGTAGTTTTCTGAAGTTCAGTACTTTTGCACAGTTTAAGGACTTCTAGAAAGCATACGTGCTGTCTTCAGAGCTAGGTGGGATCCGATTAGTCAATTTCATAGCAATTAGGGAACACAGAGTAACTGTGCTATTGACTTGTGTCTTATGGTCTTTGTGTAATTTAAAAAATAGCCCTACAAATAGTCATAGTGCATAGAAGCAGGTACAAAAAAATCAAATCATGAACCCCTTTTTCCTCATGTCTCTAAAACAAGACAGTAATGTGTTACCTGAAGGGTTTTGTCTATGTAATGTATTGCTTTATGTATTTGAATGGATTGCACAATAACGTACAGTGCACACAGGGCTCTTGACAAGTCTGTGATGCTTTTACTGCAAAATTTAAATTAAAAAAATAAAGCATCTCCTACAAGCAGTGATTCTGTGTCTGTGCTGATCTGTCCATGTTCAACTGACTTAGTGTTGATGAAGTTGTTCAAAGCACTTAGAGAATAACAGGTTTTACAAATGTTAGATAATCCTTGCAGTCCTATGAGAACTGTGCCCCCTTTTTGGAAATAGGGATAACAGAGAGAAATTAAGGGGCTGCTCAGTTTTCTGCCTTGCACTTTATAATCTAAGGTAAAAAAATACAGCTTCACCAAGAATCAAATTTAACAGCAGGTCTCTTGTTGGAATCCGGAGTTCTGTGCTGTCTTTAAGTGCCAAGTATGGGGAAAATGGGAACATGATAAATGGAACATGTGTTTAAAATATGTTAGTGTGACTTACAGAAATGAACTGCAGGGTAGCTCTTGGGTTTGTACAGTATTTGGTGGAGCACTCGGGCAGATCAGGCAGTCTGATCCTGGCTGCCAGGATCTCCTGTTTGGGCAGGACAAGTGCCAGGGTAAGACAGCCTCCCCTGCCTCTGCCTGCTGCTGGTGAGGGAAGAGAGCAGGGATCTTGCTGTGTCAGAGGGAATGCCAGAAAACTATAAATATACTATGGCATGACATTTGCTTGTAATCTCTTCTTTCAAACCTTTCATTAGGAGGAGGTGATTTTGAGCTGCCCTAATGTGACATAGTGATGGTTTACTATTTGTTACTTTTCTGTATCCTTCTGGGGCTCAGTACTATTAAGAGATGTTTCAGTTGCAAAATCCGCTAGTGAACTGCACAGAAGCTCTTGCTAGTGTTGATCCTCCCAGTAACTTTTTTTGGAGCTTGAGATCAGATCAGACATCACCACTTCACTGATTGTGTTAGTAGCTGTTAGCTTAGCCTTATTCATTGTAGTCTAAGTTTAACAGCAAATGTATGCTGTATTTCATTATATCTATTATCAGTGCATTAGGTTTCCAGATAGACTTTTTATTGCTATACATCCATAAAATAAAAATGAATCAGTGTACGAAATTAAAACAGAGTGATGGAGCTGGGCAGTTTTGTTGTAACAAAATTGCTGCAGGCATTATTGTACTAGGATAGCCTCTCCCTGTCTTTTGTGAAGGGCTGCCAGATGGTATGCAGAAGTTGGTCTCAAAAATGGAAAGGGGTCTGAGCTTGTGCTCAAATTGGATTTTTGTATTCATATTTAGGCATGATACCTTGAAAGAAGCATATGAGAATTGAAGTCACAAGTAGAGGCTGGTTGATTGGTTTGTTTGCTTTTTACAGGCTAAAAGCCTACTGCTAAATATTTCTGAGTTGCTAGCACTTACATAGGGAGAATCTGAAACTATCCTCATTTTGTTCCATTACTTCTGTTAATCATAGACAATGGATGACAGTAGTGTGAGGCTGTTTTCTTCACCAAGAAGTACAAAGGAATATTGTGCGTGCTGGATTGTATGTAAAATCTGTATGACTGAAGCCTGCCTTGTCTTGCATAATGAAGGGTTACTAGACAATTGTATTGTCCCTGTTTGGGATTGGGCTTATTTTTATCCATCAGCCCCTTTCTTCACTGGCGTGGCTAAATTTGGAAGTGTCACTGCAAGCTGCAGCTAGGCATTCGAGGGTAGAATATGGAGACATGTATACACACATTTTTAGTTTTCATTAGGACACATGAACATGAAAATTAAAATGAGATAACACTCTAGAAATTTGTGTCACTTTCCTGTCTTTGTAGCTTTCAAACAGAGCTTGAAACAGTGTTTAGTCCTAAACTCTCATTGGTACTTCTGCTGTATGTATCCTCAAACTCTTTAATTTTCTTATGCTTTTAAAACATCACAACCAAGAGGTGAAACTCTTCTTGCTTCCTAAGCAGGAATACAGAAGCATAGCAAACATCTTTTTTTTTTTTAATTTTTTTTTTTTCCCCAGCAAAAAAGTAGGCTGTAAAGAAGCCAGAAGGGGAATTTGCTCCTGTATGTGATGGAGAGAATCGAGCAGAAACTTGTGTGAGACCTGGATCATTTGTGCATGTTGAATTTAGGACAGTGCTGATTTTCTCTGCTGATCTGCTGCTGCCAGCTCAGTCCCATCAGCACAGCAGTTGTGTCATAACAAACGTGGCTCACCTGCTAGAGGTGGCTAATGGGTTTTTCAGCCTCTGCAGCACTGATTGCTTGATTTTTGATGTGTACTAATTATGCAACACATACATTAAAACGGCGTTACATGAAAACTACAGAAAGAATTTCACTGACTTCTGTGCTTACTGCTGTATTTTTTTGATCATGCTTTCTTAGTGTACAAGTATTGCTGTTCTGTGTACAGATTTCATTGAGTGGATAAGCCTTTCATGTAATGCCTGTCACTTCTATTTTTTGGGAATGTGTTAAATGATGCTTCTTATTTAGCACCATGAATCCAAGTATGCTCATGTCTGTGTCTTGGCATATATTCCCTGTTTTAATACTATTTATATATGAAACATCCCTAAATGTAACATGAGTTTCATGGGCTGCAGAGGACTACACAGCTGCTTTTTGTCAGAGCACAGCAACTTTCCTTGGTGAGCTCAATAACATAAATTTGTCATTTTACTGAACAGAAAATATGTAAGCTAAGTAAGAATGTGGATTTTCTTTTTCCTTGTATACAACTAGTGAACAAGCAAAACATAACTGGATATTTCAGAAACCTCCCTAATGTGGCAGCTGAAGAAAAGATAAAGCCTTGCTTAGCTGATACATTTCGGGTTATGAGAAGAGTTGCTAGATTTCGTAGGTAAAGAAGAGCACAATTTAACAAAATGCTAAGGCCATATGAGTACTAAACCCAGAATTGTGCCGGTCATTATGTTAGTTTTATTTTATTGTGTGGTGGTATCTGACTTACATTTCAAAAACTGATGAAGAAACACTGGGAAGCAAATCATCCCCTGGTGTTATTTACATAATGTCAATAAAATAATTGGCAATACAAAAAGCAGCTAACAACTCATATTTAGTGTTGATAGTGTCTTTGCTTCACATGTTTTATGCTACTTGGGCTACTTCCTTGGACACAGACATAAACAGGATACATGGCAATTATCAACACTTTTGCAACCTTGGGGTGTAGGCTTCTGTTTTAAATATTAAGTAAACATGGTGTTTCTTTAGTACATGCTGTATGATCACACCAAATGCAACATGACTGTTGCTGCAACATAGACAAATCATGTTCCTGGAAGCTGCTGTATACATGTGCGTCAACATGATGTGTTCTTGCTATTACCTTGGTCTGTCATATAACTGACTGTAGGTATGAAGAAACAGTCACAAATTGCTGAAGCTAAGTTTGCCTTTTCAGATCAGCAGCTCACATTAGAAGGGATTTTTAGCACAATTTGAGGCAACAACTGTGCTTGTTCCAGTGCAGGAAGTGCATAGGCAGGTTGGGAGAGAGAACTTCCCTGTTCACTGGAGCTGGCTGATACTTTGACCTTAAACAGGAATGGCTAACTAATCTAATGAAACCTTCCATCTTCAAGCCCTGGTTACAGTGTTTACTTGCTCCTAAATACTTGCACATAATTACTTATTCTCTTATCATCACTGAGATGCCTTGCTGCAGATCAGAGTGGAGACAGGCAAGGACCTTCTCAGAAAAATATCTAAGTTTTGAGAGTGGATATGCATGGCACATGAAGAAAACAATGAAAAATACTTGGCTTAGAAACACTCTGTAGTCTCTGGGGATGTGGAAAATGCAAGATCTGTCCAAGTGAAAAGATGTGACAGAGGAAGAGCAGAGGACAAGGCACTGAAGGGAGGAAAATAAAGAAAGGTGGGTGGAAGTAGCTTAAGACAGGAGACAAACTGCAGAATACTTGAAGAGTACTTACTGATGCAGTTCTGTGGAGCAGTTTGAGAAACAGCCTTTCAGCAAGGCCTCCTTTAGAAGCAAAGGTATATTACAAACAAGTCAACAAGCAAAGCAACCTATCCACCTCTCAAACCTGCATTGAGCAGAGTTTTCTGATTGTAACCCTTCCTCTAAGAGGAGGCTATATCAGGTTAGCCCTATTTTGTCAAGGCATATGCTGAACCCTGAAACAAGAGGTCGTTAAGTGGAAATTAAGAGTTACTAACCAGAGAAACAGGGGTGATTCTCCAGCTGCAAACCCATTGGTCTGAATTTGTAGGTGTTTCCTTGGGGGGGGGGGGGATACTTCAAATGAGCACATTCTCTAGGAATGTGTTAATAATATTCTAAAAATAAGGAACTTGCTCATAATTTTCATCCAGAACTCTGCAAATAGCATCTTAAACAATTCTGCTAATGTTTTGGAGGCACAAAGGATCTTAGTAGTTGCTGGTATTCAGCTGTTCATCTCATAAAAAAGGAATGACCATGGGTAAAGGGTATGGAATTATGAATTCAGTGTCTGGCACCTTAATAATCTCTAAGCAATCAAAGTGGTTATTCTTCTGGTTATCAGGAACATGGAAACTTGTTTGTAATCCCTTTACACAGATGCAGGGGAGGGAGCTGCAATGACACTCAAAGAAAATGTACAACCCTGCAACAAACAAACACAGAAAAGTTTTGAGTCATGTCCCCATCTAGTTTCTCTGTTCTCTCTACTCTCAAAAAATCAGGTGTGGGCTTTTTGTTTGTATGCATCCAAACTGCAAAACAAACCCCCCAATAATACATAATACGAAACTTCTGATTATCAGGATGTGAAGCTTTGCATATAATGTTTTCCAAGTGCAAAATGATATCATGTAAGGAAAGCTGGTTGCCAACGTTTTTCCATTAAGTGGTTTTAAGGCTCTTTTTAAATGATTGCTTTATAGCCTTGTTGTTCTTTGCCTGAAATGTTCTTTGCCTGAAATGTTCTTTATCAGGCATCTGCTCTGTGATTGTCTCACTCCCAGCCTTGCACACACACCCAGAGCTTTAGCAGGATGGTTAAGCCAGTAATGATATGGTGTAGGAAAGGACTGTAGGATTTAGTGTTGAGAACATCTCAACACCATGTGGGAGGGCAGTATAAACCAGATGTCTGTCTTTACCCATTTTTCTTAATGCAAGTAGATTTTCCTGTTCATTTTTCTCTTGCCCAAAGAAGAATTTATTCTTACATTGCTACCATAGTTGTGTTAGTTTGACTGCTAAAAGCTGAAAGTGGTACAGCTTTAGACTGCAGATGCTATCCCCACTGTCGGTCATGGTGAAGGACTGGAGACTCTCTACAGTGCAGCTGCAGATGGATGTAAGATGCTGAGCATCATCTCTTTCAGCCTCTGCTCAGTGTCAAAGACAGTATTAGACACTGCTTAGACTCTTAATTTAGTAAAGAATCTCAAAGTTTGTTGGTTTTCCTACAGTGTCATTACTGAACAACAAAACAAACCCAAGCAGATTATGCTGTAAGATCTATGTAGTAAATATTCCCAAATTTAGCCATGTCCTGGTATATCCAGTGTAAGACTGATTTATCTCTGGCACTGGCCTTTAAAAAACAAGGTGCAAAGCTAGGCAGTAACAACTGCGTTTCCAAGACTGCGTCTTTCTAACTTTCTATTCAGAAATAATCCCTAATTTTAGGTTCCTAGTTTGCAAATATTCAAAGTTAGGTAAGAATCATTTTTCCTTTTTTTTTTTTTAAATAATAATGTGGATGTCTTCATCTAAGCTATGTTTTTTAATTCTTTGTAATCAAGAGAAGAAATTAGTTATTCTGGAGGCTGACTCATTTCAGATGATTGCTACAGAAGGATGTTTCTCTGGGTTGATTGGAAGGGAGGTGATGGTTCCATCTGACCTTGCAGATATTTATTTACATGCCAAGGGAAATGATTCCTACTGTTAGCATGGGTATTTTTGTTACTAAGTACATTGATGAGATGAGTAAGGGGGGTCTGTTGCAAAGAGTGCCTTAAAGAAAGACACAGAATTATTGTTTTACAAATTTCTGGAGATCATTAGAATAACAAATGTTGGCACTTTAAAATAGCCTTTCTATTTACCTATCAAGACCTGATTTCAAACTTTTATCCTCCTACAATAGTTAACAACACTGAAACACCCACATAAATGCTCTTTCATAGCTTTGCTTTGGCTCTTACAATGTTAGTTTGAGAACTTCTATAAGAGCAATGCAGCCTTGAAATGAATATTTGATTGCTTTGGAGGTTCTTAGTTAGCTTTAAATGCAAACTGAAATTCTACTTTATTTATCTCCAATATAAACAAGTATTTTCTGAGCTCTGCTTAAGGGACCTTGCTTAAAATGTTTTTATTTCGTTTCTTCTGAGAGCTTTCTATAATTTTGATTGAACTTGTGAATTTTTATATTTCCTGCAGGAGGGAGTTTGATTAGTGAGGGGCAGTTCCGTGGTTGTAAGAGTTTAAAGGGAACTGTGAGAGCTAAAAGAATGCAGAACATTTTCTAGTAGCATGTACTGGTGAATTAAAGTAAGCCAGGATAACTTTTTCTCTCACATGCCTTTACCTCTCCCTGCACAAATCCAGCCTGTTGTCTCTATCTATATCTATATCAATTCCATTAAAGCCACTGGAAATGAGACATTTCTATCATCTGCATCAAGTATAAATTGGTCATTCATCTTCCTAAAACCATGAAGGTTTAGTGTCTGGCCCCAAAACATTTGAGTGTTCTTAGGTACTGCTGTGCTTTCACTAGAGTTGACTGTCTCCTGTGGTCCTGTGATACTGTATTTTTGTTATTTTTTTATTCTAGTACTGACTTAAAAATAACTTTCTTATTTTTTTATATTTTTAAGGAGCTCTACCATGTACCTAATGGCATGTCTCCAGGGAAGCTCTCTCATGGGATGGTGTATGGTGTTGTGCACCGAACTGACAACAACCATAAGAGAGAAATGGTGGTTTATGGCTGGTCAGCTGATCAGCTGAAAGAGGAGATGAATTACATTAAAGAAGTGAGTTATGCTTTCAGCTTCAAAATTTGTCAAATATGCTTTCCATATATTCCTGTAGAGCTGTGAGTGTATATGGGTTGACTGATGTCTAGCCCAACACCCAAATCTTAGCTGGGAACCTACTCTAAGCTGAAGACTTGATTTATTAGTGTTTGAGTTGGAAAAAAGGGTGCTCTATACCTGGGAACTGTGCAGTCCATACTCAGGGTCTCTGTGCCAACTGATACTTGTTAGTGCTTGCTGACTGGGCCTCAGCTGGGTGTGTGGACTGCCAAACAGATATTGAAGTTCTTGTCCTGAAGCCTTCAGAGTTTCAAATGTCATACAGAAGAAACTATACAGGCAGACACCCTAAAGGATAAACTCTCTCCTCTCCTGCTTCCCCCCTGTTCCCAAATCCCCAGTTCTGAAAAGGCTCCTAAATTAGGTGACACAGTAAAATCACTTGGGTATACTTTGGGGCAGCCTTAAAATAGTCAGCCTAATAAGGATGACTTTGTACTACTTTCTCTGTGCATGCTCATTTATCATAATTGGCAGAAGCTCTCCTGGAAAGAAAAAAAAAAAAAGGCATTTCTGACACGGCTGGTTTCTGTGCTTGAAACTCAGCATCTCTTTGACCATCAGTCCTTGGCTCACAGGCTTTGGAATTACCCCCTAATTAGCCTAAGGCAAATAGTCCGACCTTCTCTTTCCATCCACCTTCACCACTCAGGAAGTTATTGCTCTATGTGTTACAGAGATGCAAGTGCAAACTGAGTTGATATAAAAGGGAGTAACACTGAGTCAAACCAGCAGTGTAAGAGACTATAATTATGTGTGCTCTTACATCTGCCTGATCTCCAGCTATCAGCTCTTGCTTTTCTCCTTTGCTATACACAGTTGTTTGCTCCTAGCATTCACTATGCTCAAGTTCCTGCACTCACAGTTAGGGTATGTCACCACTGCAGTGCACACATGGCATGTGAGCTGAGTCAGCTGGTTGCCTGCCTGCTTGTTTGCCTGCCCTGGTGGGGTGGTGTCAAGGATGGGTGAATCTGCATGAGGCCTGGCTTGCTGGGCTGCCCTACTGCTGTTCACAGCTGGCTTGTGGCATGGAGGGATGTGTCAGACCAGGTGGACTGCATGTCCTCTGTGTCTGTGTGTATGTTCAGAGTACTGATCCTTACAGGAAAAAGTGGGAAAAACATAGGAAGAGATGGACTGGCTCTTGCTCTTTTCTGGCAGCTGTGTTCAGCTATGCTAGCTGCTGAACTCTGGTCTGCCAGATAAGTTTCATCTTTAAAAGTAGTCTTAAACGAAGTCCTCAGCTTATACTACATACATGAAGACTTAAACCAGAAATGATGGGCCACGTCAGAACTACTGACAGTTTCCTCTGTAGCTGAGTCAAATATGTACCTTGCAAGAAGGAGAGTGGGATGTGTGCATGTGCGCATGCGTGGGGAGGGACAGGGCAAGGGACTTTTTCTGAGGTGAAGTGAAGGAATCGGTTACTTTTCATGTTTCTTATCCTAAAGGGACCATGTAGCTTGGGGTAGGCTTGGGCTTACCTCTTGCATAGATTTTGTGACCAATGCTCCTCTTTCTGGGAGAGAGTGGGTATACTACAGAGCTGCTAGAAACATTCCCTCTTCTATAAGGCCCTACTATTTTCCCTTTGCACTTTCCCCAAGCTTGTGCAGCAAGGAGGTAACCTTGTTGCCCTAGATTATCTGCAATCAGTCTGTGTTTGATAGGGAGTGGGGGGAAGAGGAGTTTGAATTATATAGCTGGAACGCAAACTGTAGGCAAACATTTAACTAGTGTTTACAATGTGTGCTCTTGAGAAGGTTGGTTGTGTGCATGATTGCAATGGCATGTAAGCCCAAGCTGTCTTCCAGCTTGCTTTCCCTCCCTCCCCCCATCTTTTCTTTTTTGGAAGGCAAGGTATAATTTACGTCCTTAGTTCTTAAATAAAATCAAAATGATTACTCTGTTCTTCAGATTTGAAATTGCATTGATAAATTTATGCTAATATATTAACTAGGCACAAGCCTAGAAGTCTTAAATTAAAGGGTTTATCTTCAAAGGATACTTAGGGAAAACTAATTAACCACTTTTAAAAGTATGAAGGTGTATTAAATCCATGTGTGGATGCTTCTTTTTTTTTCAGAATGAAAACATATGCTCAAATTGATTTTAATTTGTTTAGTAATCAGCTTAGAGTGAATTATGGTTAATTTATTATTTAAATTATTAATCTACAAGCATTTGAGTGTGCACAGAGAAGCTTAGAATTACTCAGAGACATTTATTTGTATCACCCCTACATAGACAAGTCTTGAGACTTAAGTTTGCATCTTATTCTTAAGAGTAAATTGCTGTTGATGAAAAGGTAAATTAATAATGGAAATTACTGAAAGTAGCAATGAAGAACATATCAGAACCAAAAAGTCACATTCTAGTATAAGTATCATCAATAAGTTTGATAAAGGTATTTGTTTTTTTTCTGACACCAGGTTAGGGCAACTCTGGAAAAAGTAAGAAAGAAAATGTATGGCGAATATGATGAAATGAAACGAAAAATACAGCAGCTTACAAATGAACTGAAAGTAAGTACACATTCATTTGGAGGTAAGGCATATGAGAATAATTGTCCCAGTGTTATCTAAAAAGATTTTGTGGGTTTTTTTTTTTTTTTGCTTCAACAGAGCAGAAATAATTTCTCAAGCCATTGTAGTGCATTGTTTTATGTGACATCTAAATTTTTATTTATTTATTTTCCCCTCCAGGAAGGTAAGGTAGGACAGGGATGTTTTCATATATGGAATTACTAATTGCTTGCTTCTTGGAAATAAAAGAGTGATCTTAACAGCATTGTCTGTGTGTATTGATAATTAGTGGAGATGTTTGTACCATGAAGCTGCCAGGTGAATAACATACATAATCAGGAGTAAAGTGCAATTTGTTGTCATTTCAACAGACTTTGCTCTGGTTTACTGACTTTATTGTTTAAACACTATAGTGAAAGAAGCAGCAGTATTTTTTGATATTAAAGTGCTTGACAGTTCTAAAAATGACTTGCCTTTCGGTTCTTAATTGAACCTTGTAATAGTTATTCAGTGACCTCTCTTTCTTCTGACATGCTGCTTTAGCAATAAAAGCTGCTGCAGTCTGTAGAAGTAAGTATCCTTCATATAAAACTGCTGAGTTCTTTGGTCCAAAAAAATCTCCCTGAAAACTTGCTGTGGATTTGATATTCAACATTGATTTTCACAGCCCTGGTTCAGATGAAGCTTTGGCTATTAAAGGTATTCTGACTTCAGGGGACTGGGACCCTGACTTGTGCCCTTCTGCCACCCTCATTTGGAGGCTGTCAGTTCTCTGCATGCTCTATTATATGTAAAGATCAGAACTTGCTGTTAAACTGGTACCTCTATGGCAACTAGTCTCAAAAAACCAAAAACAACCCAAAAACAAACAACAACAACAAAAAAAAATCACCCTGACTTGAGAGGAAGAGGGGGAGAAAATTCAGTTGCTGTAGACTGTGTCAAATAGTCTTAATGATGCCAACAAGGTGAGTCTCCCACCCAGCATGCACACAGGCAAATGCTGATACAGATGAAGGTTTGGCATCTTTGCTGCTGATCCTTACTGAACAGTTAGTGATGAATATCACAGTGGTGATACCTGGCACTTCCAGATCTTTCTGTCAGACCAGTAGAAATCCTGCATGAGTCTGAGCATCTCTCTTAATTAAGGGTTTCTGATCAGCTCTGACAGAATCTCTAGTTCTGCAGCAAATTAGCAGTTTATGAAGTACTCCCTGACATAAATAGCACATTATTCCCCCTTTTTTAATACTTTACACTGCCTGTAATAAAACACAAGCGTTGTTCTGCCTAATAATGTATGGTTGGGGTTTTTTATTGGCTTTGGGTTAACATGACTAACATCTTTCATGCTATTTGTGGATTCTGTTTAAAATAATTTATATAATCTGCTTCAGCTTTGAATCACTATGCTTTTTTCCCCATCAATTTCCAGGAGCACTTTTTGTTCATAAAATTTGTTTGTAATTTGTACTTCCAATATACTGCCCTGGGCGGTATGCTTCTTCACCTCAGTTCTTATCTTGTAGCTTTCTTAATCCATCTAAAGGATTTCTGCTTTGTTTGTTTGTTTTTACATAAGCACATGTTTATATAGGGTTAACTGTAACTGCTTGGCTTCTACTCCTTATGCTGACCTAATCTGTGTATGACTTGGTTACTAAACACTCATTGTTCTCCATATCAGTCTCCAGTGTTCTTATGTTTTTATCAAGAAACAAATCTGGTCCATCTAAGAATGTGAGGTGGGCTGGTCTCCATTAGTAACAATTTTTTTCTCTTTATTGGATTTTTCATAATTACTTATACAGCTTGGGTTTTGGTCTCTTAAATGATGACAGTCTGTGCCTATCACCCCCAAACCCCCTCCAGTTTTGAAGCATGTGTGTGTTTGTACACAACAGAAGATGACATTTTCACACAACAAAACTCTCTGCTGACTTTTCCTACCTGCTTCCTGTTGTTTCATCCTTAAGCCTTCTTGATGTTGCTTCTTTGCAGACCTGATTAGTCAGTTCCTTCTTAATTAAGGCTATTCTACAGTTCACCAAAACCTTTCTAGTAATCATTTCTTGCATTATTCTGCTTTTCACTCTGTGACTTCTCAAAACCTGCCCACTCCATGTACATAAGCTTTCTGAATAGCCATCTGCTAAATATCCTCTTGTCCTTCTTAAAAAGAACAGCTTTTACAGCAAATACAGACTAGCAATAAACATAGATACTTGTGCCTTATTCCTGTTAAGAGTATTTGGATTCTAAGTTCTGTTTGTTTGTTTCTGAGGTACAAGAATATGGTTTGAGGCCTGTATATTTTAAGCATCCTAGTACTGTGAAAATTAACCATGGGGTCTTTCTCTTATGTAGCTCCCTTTGAAAGAATAGGTAACCTTGATCATTATTCTATATAATTTTTATTTATTTTTTCTTTTCCTGCTCAGGTGACAAATGCTCATCAGGAATCCTTAGAGAATCATGTGCGAGTGCAGGCTGCAGCCTTAGATAGCTTTAGTGAAATGAACAGCTCCTTGACATCAGCATCAATAGACTTGCAGGTACATTTTAATAGCTGTTTCACAGCTGACAACCACCTTTTCTGACATGGATTTAAAAGCATACATAAAATATGGATGACAGATACAGATTCTAACACTAAACAAGCCCATAAAGTACTGTCTTGGCTGTCTAAGGCAGCTAATTTAGGAGGCAAAGACCAAATTCCAACACCTGTGTTTTTAAAAACCTATTAAAAATAGCGTACAATAAAGAGATGCTGATCTGCAGCAGACTAATGTCATTAGGCATGTCTCTATGAAATATCTAAGGTGAAAATGTGATTTGTTTTGTGTTGTGCAAAACGGTTCATCTCCTGACTGATCCCTCCCTTCACTGGTTAACAGAAATGGAAGTGGCCTGTTTGGATGCTAAACACTTGTGGGAATTTACATACCTGTGAAATGTAGGGGGAGGGAGAAGGTGGGAATGAATTTTCTGTGTTAAAGACTTACAGGTATCTGAGCTGAAAATCTTAATGTTCCTGCTTTCTTGTATGTCACAGTTTTTCCTCAGTCTAGTGTATTTAATATGTATAATATGGCACTTGGAGAGAAGAAAGGAAGACTGTTGGGAGTAGTATTCATGATGAAATATATCCATGTTCCTTTGTTAGTTTTTTTTCTTATAGCATTCCAGGACTTGATTTCACTAAGCACGTTCCTCATGGAAATATCTCCTAGTACACAAAATACAACTAGAGCTATCATTTTAAACATTAAAACATGCAAAATTGTTCCCACTGCATTGATACATCAGGAAACTAAATGTTCTGTCTCTTCCATAATCTCTTGACTGTATTAGTTCACCAAGTTATTTGTGATTTTTAATATGTGGTTTGCCTCTTTCCTCTAGAAAACTCTAGTTGACGTTACATTGGAGAACACTGATATAAGGGAACAAATAAGGAATTTAAAACATACGCATGAACAATCTATGGAAAAGCTGAGAGAGAAGCAAAAGCAACTGGAAACAGCACAAATAGAAAACCAGTTACTGAAATTAAAGGTGTGGTATATAAAATCCCCTAAAAATATTGCCCAGTGAGGGCATTAGGAGTATGTTAAATGAATTCTTATATCGTATTTGTAAAGTGTTCTTCATTCTTCATGCCTTCATCATTCCGTAGAGCTGACGTATTGCTGTGAATCAATCCTGTTTTAATAACAAAGAATCTCAGCTGGCAGGGGTCAGTCTTTCCATAACATAGGATTGTCATTCAGGGATGTTGGCAGGTGAAAATTCAAACTATAGAAGAGTTATTAGCTTCCATTGCTGTAAGAAAAGGAATATTATAACTCTATATGGTACTATAAGAATTTCTTCATGATGAATTCCTTTGGTGTTGCACAACTTTTAATAGGCAGTCTGTTAAGTCTTATGAGCTTGTGGTCCACAGATACATGCTGTAACAGCCAGTGTCTTGGAAAGAGAATTCAGCTATTCCTTTCTGAGAAATGGAATAAAATGCAAACTGAAAAGTTTTACATGGCAGAAATCTTGACCGTGTTCTCCACTAATCTGCCAAATGTATTCCTTTACTGTCATTAAAAAAAACCAACCCAAAACAAAACCAAAACAAAAGCAAAATCAAAGCCAAAGGCAACAATAACCAAGCAAACAAAAAACCTTCTGGAAACCTTTGCCTCTTCTAAAATTGCTCAATGTAGACTAATTTGGATATAGACTATCAGGATTTGTCACTGTGAAATTAAGGTAACTGCTGGTTTATTAATGTTTAATTTTTCCAACGCAGATGTTTCTTTTTGGCTCTCTAGTGACTTGCATTCATGCTTAGCGATGAATGGTTAAAAGAGAAGAAGGTATTTCTGCTCCTAAGGGCAGAGAACCACAGGTTAAATCCAAGTTCAACTGAATACATAAGGACTTGTTTCTCTTTGAGCATATCAAGGTCTGCATAATACGTACCCTGCTTTAATGAGGAAAAACTTTAAATTTTGCCCTCAAAGTGGATAAAATTCTTCATTGCTGTCTTTGAAAGTTAAACATAAAATTGCCAAGACATCTGGGATTTAATTCCAGGGGTGAATGTAAGAGGAGGGTTTGGAATCTGGGGGGATAGCAATTGAAAAGCAGTAACTACCATATGCTGTGATTCTTTTCTGGGTAGGAGAACACACCCGTGTAGCTTATTAAGGATCTTTGGCTTATTCATACAATCATAACAATACCTGAGGTTGGAGACACGGCTTAGGAGTCCCACAACAGATGCCCTGATGCACCTGCCTTTTATGCTTGTTTTTACTCTCCTGATTGCTCAAGCTGTAAGATGATGGAGAGACAGTGCCAAAGATCATATTCCAGTTCAGCATATCTTAGACTCTGGGTTTTCATTGTTGGCTTTTTCTGAATGATATGATTATTTCAGGCTTCTTGAAACATGGAAGGTTTCTTTTTGTACTGAGAGCTAACTCTGCTCACTCCCTCTCGCAAAGTGCAGGTTGCTGCCCTTGCCCCAGCGTTGGTCTAGGTGAGGTGCCAAAGGAGACAACTGCAGTAGAATTAATGTTCTTCAGAGCTCAGACTCTTCAGGATGAAATACGCAGTTGTTAAACAGGGTAGTAAAACAGCTTGTTCCCCCCATGCAAGATAAACACAGGGGTTTAATAAATCTTTTAGTCCTTGAAATGGAAAAACAAACAAAAACCCCAGGAACAAGCAAGCAAACACACAGATCCAAACCCACCCACTGAAAAGGCCCCCAGTGATACTAAAACCCTAATCATCAGAACCAGGTATTTTGTGGTTGTGTGAACTGTAGTGATTGGCGAGGAGCACTTTATTCTTCTCTCACATGACAGTGTATTCCTCCTCTTCCTGACATTTTTGTAGGACCCACAGCATTTCAGTACAACCTTGTCTGATTTATAGCATCTGTAATAAAAGAACTAAGTCCTGGACTAGCTATTTTATTGATGCTTACAGAGTAGATGGGTTTAAGCTATGACTATCCTATCTGGTGTTTAATGACTGAGGGTGTGGTTCAGTCAGTGTTTTGAGCCAACAGAAGGGGGAAATCCTGTCTCTGAATTACCATTCCTGCCCTCTTCCCTGCAGCAATAGTAAAGTTTCTGGTCATGTGGTTAGAAATTAACCCCTCCACACCCTGAGAATATTGTCTGATTCTTCTCTAACCTGCTTTTCTTCATGAGCACCCCAGTTTTTGTGCCGACACAAAGCGCAGTGTGTGGAAAAGCAAGGGAGAGAAGGGACCATACAGCTGTGTCTTCTAGTTAACAAGACAGGCTTAGGTTCAGCTTGAAGTAATTATTGCTTTGAGGTTCATGATCATTTAGAAACAGTAGTTGAGTCTAGGTGATCTCTAATCTATGCTTCTTTAAAATGAGGGGAGACAAATATCTTTTCAGTGGGAAACAAGTGATTTGGGTCTGTTACAGAAGGGCTTAGTAAAGAGTCATAGCCTGGTCTTGGATGAGCAATAACTAGTTAAATTTAGACAACGTGAAACTTGATGAAATGGTAACTTCTACAAACTCAAATTACTTACATATTGGCAGAGTACTGTAAATGGTCTTGATGCAAATGAAAATCTGCTTTAGCAGTGTCAAATCTATAACAAGGTGGAGCTGAAGTTCAAAGTGCTACTCTCACATCATGTGAACTTCACTCCTCCTGCTGCCAGCAGTGCTGTACTGACTGACAGGTCAAACTTCCTCTCTCATAGGTGGAATCATCGCAGGAAGCCAATGCTGAAGTCATGAGAGAGATGACAAGAAAACTGTACAGTCAGTATGAGGAAAAAATGCGAGAAGAGGAGCAGAAACATAAAGCTGAGAAAGAAATCCTCCTAGTATGTACAATCAGTCTGTAAGAGTGGTGCTTAGCTTGGGTGTTTCTGAATCACTTAATATTCCAGAGCTGACGTGTGTTCCTTCACGCCTGTCTCTGTGAACTAGTCATGCTAAGGCTATTAAGCTTTACAAGCTTTTGTGTTTGAAAGACTAAGAAAACAATGTGTTCAAACATAGTAACAGTGATGATAATGTAGATTTCAAAATTTGATATGGAGTAAGTTGCAGTTTTTGTCTTTTGATTCTCTCAAAAAAAAAAAGAAAGGAAAATATAATGTCCAATTTTAGTTATAGTTTGAGAGGGAACAACTTAACTGAATAATACTGGAGGAAGAACTCTTCCTGTTCCCTGCTTTCTCTCCGCTATCAAGTAAAACCTTTCTATGAGCAGTTAGTTATTGCATTTTTCTAGCAGGAAAAGTAGATAATGATGGAAACTGAAGGTAGATTCCCCAGTCTCTTAATATTGTTTTATATATAAAGTACAAAGCTGAACATAGCAAACTGTGGTGTCTAAAATGCTATCTTCTGCAACACCATATTTTTCTTATATTGTTACTCATGGCATCCTCAGAAGGGAAAGCACATATCTAAGAAATGGATAAAAGTTTTTCTTGAATTTTCATAATGATGTTTTAAAATGCACTTCAAAATACCCCAGAACTTTTGTTCTATATAATTCACCTTTAAGGTCACAACTCTTCCAGACTCCTGGGCAGATATAGTGAAAAGATTTGAGCTCTTCTTGAAAGCCATTATCCTGGCTCTATGTGATGTTAATGTGACTGTAAGCATTCTTATTTGAAGGAGGAAACAAATCGGCTTCTGAAGGCTATTGAAGAGGCAAATAAGAAGATGCAGATTACAGAAACAAGCATACAGGAAAAAGACCAGAGAATTGGTGAGCTGGACCGGCTGATTGAACGCATGGAAGAGGTATGAGAGTTAGTTGGGTACCAACTTTATATGAAATATAGAAGTGCATGGAGGAAATGAGTTTCTTTTTTTCCTTTCCCTTTTCCATTTCCACTACTCAGTACCCTGATTAGTGACATACTATTGCTGTTTGCATCTATCTTAATTATTGTATCCATATAAGTAAATGGATCTGGTTTACCACGAAGACACTATGCTTAAGTGGTTCTTCTGTCTTTGTAGTGGTCTTTATAGTCAGGGCTGCCTAAGGTGTCAAAATTTATTTATTAAATTAACCATTATTTTAAATAAAGAGTTAAAGAAGACCATTCAGTCTTCCTTCAGTGTGCAAGGTCTCCTAAGCCTAATGATCCAAAGTCTCTTAGAATTGCTGTTTGTAGGTTCACGGAATGCATAGAGTTTTGCATGGGGATAGATGAGGAACTGACTGAGAGCATAAATTGGGGTTGTTGGTTGATGAGAAGCTCAACATGACCCAGCAGCGTGTGCTTGCAGCCCAGAAACCAACCATGTTCTGGGCCTCATCAAAAGGAGCATGACCAGGTTGAGGGAGGGGATTCTATCCCTCTATTCCACTCTCATGAGACCCCACCTGGGGTACTGTCTTCAGCTGTGGGGTCCCCAACACAAGAGGGATGTGAACCTGCTTGAGCAAGTCCAGAGGAGACCAGAAAGATGGTCAAAGGGCTGGAGCACCTTTCCTATGAAGACAGGCTGAGAGAATTGGGCTTGTTCAGCGTGGAGAAGAGAGGGCTCTGAGCAGACCTTAGAGCAGGTTTCCAGTACCAAATCTTGATCTGATCTTTAAGGTCCTTTCCAACCCAAACAGTTATGATTCTACGATTGATTAAAATGTACTTAGTTAGCAATAGATACTCCTATTTAGCTGTTTATAGTCTTGATGGGAATTTTATCTCCAAATTTCTCCACTTGGGAATGAAACGCTGAACTGAAAGCTTCAGATTAAAATGCCTTGAGGATTTTTCTGTGGGTATCTAACAGCCACTTAATTTTCCATGCTGATATCTTATTTAAATTATAGCTCAGAATAATTTGAGGAAAGAACTTAAAAAATCATTTTTACTGCCTTTTAATCCAAAACTTACATTCTTCCTTTCCTGCTGGTATTAAAAAGCATTAATTATTCCTCTCCCTGGCTAAATATTCCCTACCAAACTGTAATTGAGAGCAAGTTTTTGACGATTGAGTTTTAGAGCTCTGAAAGCAGAAAAGCTCTGAGACATTTACCTCTTGTGACAGTGTCAAGTGTGACACTTCTGTAAAACTAGTTGTAGTACTTTTTGCATTGCTTCTTTGCATTTCCTTATTTCCCTTCTTCTCTTTTATGGGCTACGCTCCAGGGCAAAACTCAGACTAGTCATCAAATTATTATTATTTTAATCTATTGTTAAGCCTAAAAATATCAGCCTAACAGTTATGGTGAAATTTCCTCTTAGTTTTCTGGTATCATTCCCCTAACTGAGAATGAATGTTACTGTTTAGTCCTCAGACTGAATAGTGTCACCCTAGACAGCATAAGAACAGCCCTTCCAAAAGGCTCCCATGCTCTTGGATGTACTTTGGCATTTCTCATTTCATTTAATAGCAGGCATCTCATTATCTTTAAAGATCTGTGCTTTGCTATCTAAAATACAGAAGCAGAGAGCATTCTAGTAAGTGAAGGGACTATGATCTTCTGTTCTTACACATGAAGTGTTTTTTTCAATGGCTTAAACTTAGTACATTAAATATTTGTTACCAAGAAATAGATTTTTATGAGCCTGTCTTGTTGGCTTGACTGGGTAGTCTAATGTGAATTTGTATTGAACCTTTTATCTAATGCTTGCAAATCTATTAGCAGAACTAGTGATTATACTGAGAAGTCATTCAGTTTAAGATGCCCTTTAGCAGCTCCATTAACTTAATCTGGGCTTCTCCCTACAATTTGTATTTTGCAGTGAATAAAAGATTGCAGTATAGTTTTTAAGTACAGATGAGTTTCTTCATGTTGGTTATTTAATTTGCTCTTATCTGGCTAATACTTGCAGAATAAAACCAAATGCCTCTTAAATTCCCATTAAAGTGGACAGCAGACTCCTCTGTTAGTTTGTGTTGACTCAGTCCCAAAGCCTCATAGGTTTTTCACAGGTGCTGTGCTGGTGGACGCCTGAAAATTAAACAAGAATATTCTGGGGAAGCAAATAGAGCAATATCTTGTGTCTCAGCCTTGGATTGAGAGATTTTTTGAAGGGATAACTTGGAAAAATTTACATTTATGTTGTTTAAGATTGTGATGACTCATCTTGTTATTCAAAATCCTCAGTTTAAAGTACAACTGTACATCTTCAAAAAGGAAATTGAAAACTCTGATCTTATTTCCATGCATAGCTGGGAATTTGATTTTATTCTTACGCATCCTGTGTGCCTTTATGAATTTTGTTTAATCAGTTTCTATTTTAATTTCACAAATGATCTTTTGAATTGCAATGAAATATGCTTTACGAAGCCTTTATGTTTCGACACATGGATAACTGAAGGATAACATTTCTTGTTTAGGAACGTCACCAGCTGCAAAAACAACTTGAACTGAATGAAATGCAAATATCTGGAGCAAAATCCGAAAACAACTCCGACACTGAAAGGTGAGATATGTCTTGTCTGTGGAACTTGTGGTATTGCTAAGAAACTGTGGGGGGGGTTGGTTTGTTTTTCAAAGACACCTGAATTTTATTTTATCTATCTTTAAAATTGCAGTCTTGTAGGGATTGTCCATCTGAATGTAAGCTTATTTACACATAAAATACCAAGAGGATTAATTCTTGCAACAAAACCCCCACATTGATGCATCTTTCTTAAAAACTGTTTGCAAGCGTGCATAAAAGAGGGAAAGCAGGAAATATATTTAAGGCTTGGAGGAGCTGGTGAACATTAACGTATGCACATGAACAAAGTGAAGGTGTGGAAGAAATCTGTCATGTAGTATCACAGTGCAGAAGTAAGCTACAAAGTTATTTGGGTAAGGTAAGGTCGATATTACTGGCAGTGAGTCCCCTGTGAATGGTTGTTCTCAAAAGCATGAAGCTTAGAAGAAAGATCTAGTAGTGTGGTGGCACCTGGATGTGCTGTTTCTGCCCATAGATGGCATATACATCCATTACTATTTATTTGAGGCTGACAGAGCATCATGACTAAGCAAAAGAGAAGCTCAAGCAAAGCCAAAGGCAAAGTTTCTGTCCAGCACTGAAATAGCATAACTGCCATTTGAGTGAAAATTGCATCTGCCATTTAAAAGTTTATATGACACTACTTAAATGGGTAAAAATGAATCATAAGTAGAGACTGAATAATTGTTCTTGATAATAACTTGTATTTCTGTGCCACCAAGAAATAAAGTTTTTAGGGTTTGGCATCCCACTTCTTCAGGAAGCATAACATAAAAGGAGGTCATTGCTGAGAGCATCTCACTGCCTAGTTGTATTGATCTATGACCAGCTTATCTGGTTTAAGGGTAATAACAGCTTTCACAGCAGCTTGTTAAAATAATGATTTAAAGTGAGCAGATATTGCATGCAACATATAATATGGAGATAAAAGATAATTGCTTTCTTCCATTACCTCTGCATAACAGATACTCTTCTTGCTTCAGTGGATCCTGCCCTGACCACTCAGCATGAAAAGCTATGCTGCAGTATAAAGAGTAAAGGCAGTGTCCAGACAAGGATTTGTGCAATTCAGGGATGCACAGAGTTACAATTTATGCAATGCAAGCAGTGAATGTGGGTTCAGATGCTGAAGTTCTTAAGTTCTCTTTACGGGTCTATACCTGACCAGACACTTGAGCTCCACCTGAGGAAGGACCTCTTTTACATTGCCGTTGCCATCAGTGCTTAAAATTTTGAATCTTTCAATGAGAGACCAAATATGTGTTACAGTTGCAATCAAAATGTAAATTGTGGGTTTGTGGGACCTTAACATACAGGACTGAAAAACCTCCAGCACTGCCTTGATTTTTTTGAGTCCTTGTCAAAGTGCTGCAGTTATAGTTCTGTAGAGTACTTCACTGCTAATAGAGACTCTTTCTGGGGGGAAACAGCTTTCACAGTCATTCACTGAAATCTTGTCATACAGTTTGCCATCTGCTGCTTTGCCTTCATATGGTTGTTCTAATTGCAGCTTCAACAGTTTCTTGTGCTGTGCACAGACCAAGATGAAAAGAGCCTTTTTGGTTTTGATTCCCCTCGTCCACTTCTCAAATTCTGTCCAATCCTGAACCTAAGAGTACAAAAGTTTACTTTGTAAGCAAGCAATTGCTTTCTTTGAAGAACTGCAAGGATTGTACATTCAGATAAAAGTGGAGGCTCCCATTGCCATCATGCCCCAAACTGACTAAAACGCTTCCCTCCTGTGTCTTTGTGTATTCTGAACCTACTTTTCTGGTAAGCTGTGAAACCAGCTTGTGGCATGCGTTCTGGGGGTCTTCAGTTTCTGTCTTGCAGAATGTATCTAAAGAGTCATTCATACAAACTTAAAACATTCACCACACTTCCTGCTTTTGGTGAGTTAATATTACTTTAGTATTAACTCCAGAATACTAACTCCAGTTATTATGTATAGTTATTAATACTAACTCCAGTATATTCTGCTGCTGTTGGCAACTATGCCAAATTGTCAACTGTAGTGGGAGAGCTTTGAGAAGGATGCCTGCAGATGTGCTTCCCGGCTTTTAGTTAGTATGCATTTCCAAAAAGATTTCAGGTGATAATAACTCATGATAAATGTGTCTTTGATGATCTGTAGTGGTAGGACAAGGGGAAATGGGTTTAAACTTAAACAGGGGAAGTTCAGGTTAGATATAAGGAAGTTCTTTACTGTGAGGGTGGTGAGGCACTGGAACAGACTGTCCAAAATAGTGGTGAATGCTCCATCCCTGGCAGTGTTCAGGGCCAGGCTGGGCGAAGCATTGGGCAGCATGGTCTAGTTCGAGATGTCCCTGCCCAGAGCAGGGGGTTGGAACCAGGTGATCTTAAAGTCCCTTCCAACTCTAACCATTCTGTGATTCTGTGATAAAGACCTAGTTATGTAAATGCTTTTCACTTCAAGGAAAAACAGACATCTTAAGGAGGTGAGCTTTATCACATTGTTTAAGTGTCAGCACTTCAGTCTCTGAGTAAGCAAGCTAGCATGCGACACAAAGGTGGGTTAGTTTGGGTGGAGACAGCCACTTTGACTAAAAGACTTCCATTAAAATGTACTTTGGACAAATTGACATCTGTCAGCACGTATGACTTGCCTACTCTTTGACCTAGTCTTCCTGATTTATGGTGGGATTGTGGAGCTTGTTCTTGTTTTGCTTTTATTGCATCGATTCCCACTCATATGCTTAATTCTTCCATGTTTTGCTAGGTCACAACATTTGGAGGAGGTAGCAGCTAGCCTAAGAGAGCGAATCAAACATCTGGATGATATGGTCCACTGCCAACAGAAGAAAGTCAAGCACATGGTTGAGGAGGTGAGATCTAGTAAAACAATTCTAAGCCTTTTGAGGGAACACTGTTTTAGTACACAATCCAAAGAACGCTCTGTTCTGTGTGCCATATCCTTATGCCACCTTAGTTGCAAATGCAATGAAAGATGAGCTAGTGAAGCAGAAAGACTAGGTGAAAGCAGTTGAATCCAGTGAGTATGGTTTACATACTATGATTTTTAGGCTGGCGTTAATTCTGGAACTCCTTAGGGTAGTCCAGGAAATACACATACAACTTGCAACTTAATTTGAAGCATGCAGAAGGTAACTGCAGAAACAGTGCAGACTGCTCATTAAGGGTTTCCTTCCTGTACAGACATGGAAGGCAAAAACTGCCTTTATTTTTTAATTAATTTTCTTTTTTCAGTGTGGTTCCTCACAGAAACAGCCAGGCAAACAGTCTTTCACCGCTCATCGTTTTCACCCTAGTTTGGGGCATCTTTATTATCTTAGCTGATAAAAATTCCTGTAAAACTTAAAGTGGCTTTCTGCTGGAAAGTGGCTTTAAGTTACACACTGCCTACATGCCAATTATCTGTTCAGCAGTCAGAAGGCTGTGACTGCAAGATCTGTGTTTCTCCAACTGGATGAAAGAATGACATGGGAAATAGGTAAATTAAGTTTAAATTGGAGCTTTGCAAAGCAGACTGACAGCACTATTACACAAGCCTTGCACATAGGAGAGGCACTCATGAAATATCTTTTATTCGTATTTGGATGTCAGACATTCACAAAATCAAATGTTTGGAAATCATTCTAACCTAAGGCATTCTTTCTGCATTCTCAATGTGCTACAATAGAATTTCTGATTAGACATGGTGCTTTTCAATTTTTATCAAGGTGGAATTTATATATAAATACCTAAATGCCAACATCCCTTTTGTTCTATAAGGTTCTGATGTAGTCCTGCTGCTTGACCCCATGTGTGGTACTAAGTGTCTTTTACACAGAGGGATGCAAAAGTATCTCTTTGCATTAAGTTTCTTCTGTCCTCAGTATAGGCTAGTATAAAGTCTTGAGGTTTTGTTTCTAGTTCAGCTTGCTGTTTTCACGGTTTTCAAACATCACAGCAGGTGGTCAAAAACTGAGCTAACACTTTATACCATGGTATTCTATTAAGAAAAACATTTCCATTCTAATAATCCCATCCATCAATTTAATGGATTATGGGAACAATTATTTAATGTATTTTGTATACCTGTAAAATGACCATCATATTATCAGGTTTCTTTTGTTCTAACCAAAAGTTCTAAAGGACTTGCCACTCTGTGATACATGTGGCAACCCAAATGATTCTGGTAATATGAAATAATAATAACTGGCCCAAGATTTATGCAAGTAATAGCTTGCCAATTCCTTTTAATCTGTCTCTGCTGGTACCTTCATATACACAGAGGGCCCTTCCAGATCTTTTTGTTATCCTGCTTAACAAGTAGAATGTTTGGTGACCAACTCATTATTTAGCTGTCTCAGTATTACCTAGCTTGATGTCAAACTACCTTCTTCTCAAAATCAATATCTATACAAATCCTTGACTGCCATGTAGCCAGCACTTTGTCTCTCTCCTTTAGTCCTTGTGCATTTTAGCTTTTCTTTTAATTCCATTTCCTTGATAACTACATGAATACCTGTAGCTACGTCTGTATGATGTAACTGAAGTTTCTGAATCTAACTAAAGACTCCTGTAACATAAGTTTGATCACGTCAGATGGCACTAAATACATTAGGCAGTTAATGTTTCTTGTGCTGTCCATGGGTTGTGTTTGTACTGTGTTTGAGGAAATACATACGATACAGTTGGCATGCACAATTTTAAACTGGACTCTTTTCATTAAAGGTCTAAAAATAGCAGCTTTAAGAATACAGAGGAAGGTAACTGTCTGCCATGGGGGAAGATTGAAAGCACTGCAGATGTTTGTGCCCTGAGCTATCCACGCATGTGGTATTTTTCATGATTTTGTGCTCTTCTCTGAGTAAACATTAGAAAATTATTTTTAGGCTTACTTTAAGCAACACTTGCTAACTATGCCATAGAAGCTGAGAAATCAGCAATGAAAATGCTTCTTAAAAGGCAGGCTTTTGAAAAGGAATGCTATCCAAAGAGGCTGTTGTGGAGTTAAGTTAAAAACTAATGAGCAACATCTCTAAATATACTTTCAAGAGTAAATAGGGAAGACTGTAATTGTGCTACTATTTAACTCCCAGAAAATATGTTCATTGGGGTATACATGAGCACAAATCCCCTCTACTTAAATTTAACTAAATGCAGAATGTAATGAATAGGAATATCTAAAAAAGTGTCACTAAAACCTACCATGTTACTCATTACTGAATACTTTCACGGCTGCTGTCTGTAAAATAACATTCCATTTTAGGGTTTATGAGGGCATTATAAGGATCAATAACTTGCATATTAAATTATATAATTGAGAAAGAATGATCAAAGCAGCTAGAAAGCCTGCTTTCTGAAACACTTAGTGCCTCTCTTGCATGAGAACAGACTGATAAGAGGCTAACATGGGAAACTCAGAAGAGAAGTGGAAAGAAAGTAATCAAAATTATCAGCAGTATTGTGCTAGATGCTGAAACAAAGCTACTGTATGAACTAAGTGTGAAGGATGGCTAAGCTTAGGCTTGCTTGACTACAGAATGAGCTTTATTTAGTATTAAGCTTGGTATGAGGGGTTCATTTTTTCAGTGTAAACCACAACAGGTTTATGCTGTTATCATCTCCAATAGAAAGTGCAGCTACAGAAATGATGAATTATTTCAGTGGGGTGCTGAATAAAAAGATGTGCTGCTTCAAACTCGTGCAGAGAACTGTCAAAATTGAACAAGTGCTGAGATGAATATGCTGGCTGAAAAATCACAAAATAGGTTGCTCTTCAGGACTTTTTAGGGAATGATGATGGATCGTTGGCAAGTGACAGATGCAGGGCATTCTGTAAAAGAGCAGCAAGCAGTAAGGAGGAAGTGAAAGAGAAACTTTATAATGGAGTTTTGTGATGCAGTACAGCTCTAACACCTCCAGTGCTGTTTGATGAGAAATGCGTTAGGAGGCTATGGTCAGTCCTAATCTAGGCATGCATGAAAGGGGATGCTGGCAGAGAAGCACCAAACATAGGAGATCATGGAGGAAAAGAGTGTTAAAGCCTCCTTTTTTGAGGACCCATCTTGTTGGTACTGAATGCAGTAAATGTGTGACCTAGGGAACTGAGCCCAGGCGAAGAATCATAGAATAGTTAGGGTTGGAACACTGCCAGGGATGGAGCATTCACAACCTCCCTGGGCAACCTATTCCAGTGCCTCACTACCCGAACAGGGAAGAATTTCCTCCTTATATCCAACCTAAACTTCCCTGTTTAAGTTTGAACCCATTACCCCTTGTCCTATCACTACTGTCCCTAATGAAGAGTCCCTCCCCAGCATCCCTATATGCCCCCTTCAGATACTGAAAGGCTGCTATGAGGTCTCCACGCAGCCTTCTCTTCTCCAGGCTGAGCAGCCCCAACTTTCTCAGCTGATCTTCATATGGGAAGTGCTCCAGTCCCCTGATCATCATCGTGGCCTCCTCTGGATTTGTTCCGACAGTTCCATGTCCTTTTTATGTTGAGGACACCAGAACTGTACACAGTACTCCAAGTGAGGTCTCACGAGAGCAGAATAAAGGGGCAGGATCACCTCCTTCGACCTGCTGGTCACACTCCTTTTGATGCAGCCCAGGATACGGTTGGCTTTCCGGGCTGCGAGCACGCACTGCCGGCTCATGTTCATTTTCTCATCGACCAACAATCACAATTCCATGTGCATATACTCCTTAGTGAAGAAATAATTTGCTTCTATTTTTTTTACCTGAAAAGAAGTCCTTCCATCTCAGGCATTAATAGAGCATTTGCCAACCTGACCTAGTCAGACCAGACATAAATTAAATAGGAGCATGGAAAATAACTTTCAGAAAAAAAGAAATGGAAGAAATTAAATGGAAGTTTGCTGGACTCGGTAACTTTCAACATCTCTGCATGTTAGATCCCATGCACACCCATTTTTCAGCCTCACAGGGATTCTCTGCTGTGAGAGCCAAGATCACAGCCCATTAGAGCACCAGTTGAGAAGAAAATTATCCTACATAGTCTTAAAGTCTCATGTTCTTAAGGCTGACAGACTTATCCCTGCTTTGAACTTGTTTGTTAAGTAAATCTGTTTGTTCTCAGCTTAGTGCAGTACACTTTATATGAAATGCAGGACTTTATTTGACAGATGTGTAGAAACCCAACCCTTTTTTCATACTATTTGTACATAGCAGGCCTTCAAAAAAGCCTTCTCAAAAGATTCAGACAGATGGCCAGAGTGGATCACCCAGAGCTCAGTGGTGAAATCAGTGAACATTAGTAGGTATGGGGGTTTTTTTCAGCTCTTGTCTTTGTAGCCCTCTCAAAGTACAGCTGGACAGAGGGGGACTTTCAAAGACAATCCAGGGAAAAGCTAGTTCGATCACATGAAAAATCTGCAGGAAGACTCACGGTGTGAAAGGTGGAACTGTGCTTATTTTGGGCCCTTCCACTACAGAGTTTCCAATGCAGAGACAGAACTGGGCAGGCAGAGGCAGGCACAGCGGTGCAATAGGAGGGCAAGGAACGCTGTTACCACATTGTTTCTTGTAGGGATGAAATTGCTTTTGCTTTTTGTGAGAGTGCTGGAAGCTTGTCTTTTATGTTATCTGTTTGGTATGGTCAGTCAGTTTATCCTGTGTGTGCCATTCTAGGAGGTGGGAGAGAGTTTAGTCTAATATAAAGCTAGAAGTCTTCAAATGAAATACAAAACATTGATTTTAAATCAGCAACAGATGTTTTTTCTGACTTATCTCAATTTCAAACCTAGAGAGATTTCAGAGAGCTTTAGTTTTGAGATCTGTGCAATTGACACTGAAATATATTGCTATTTCATGGCACAATAAGCTTATTTTATATGTAATATTGTTTCACTGT